ATATATATATATATATATATATAAATTAATAGAGAAACAGCTTGATAGAGTGAATATCCAAACAGCCAAATTAAGAATGCCTGAAAGGCCAAGATAATAAAGAGAGGCCTTCAACAGCTTCCCTGCACAGGCGGACATAGGCCTGGGTGTTCGCTGTTGTGCCGCTGGGTAAGGCTGTGAGGGTTAAGCCAACAATAATACACGGATGGCCTCGAATCTAATAAGAAAATGAGGTGTAATAATTCCTTAGGTTATCAGAAGGAAAAACCTCTGATCGGGAAGGAAAACTACCTCACACAGCTCAAGTTACAAATAGCATGGCCACGTAGTTTTTTTTTAAAGTAAAGGCAAAAACAATGGCCCTTATTTTTGGCGCACGCGCACTTCCCAGCAACAAACTCCCACCGCGTGCGGAAATGCTTCCAACGGCTTCTCCTTGTGGCTAAAAGGAACGGCGGGGGAAGGGGTGGAAAGAATTCTTACTGCTTTCCACACCAAGACGACGTTCTGAGGGGAAAACTCAATGATATGACTCAGATGAGAGCGAAAATGCCCACGCCGCTATTGCCGATATAGAGAAAGGCAATGCAGAATCACAATGGCAGGGGGTAGAACAAGCAGATGGGGGGGCTTGGAGAAATGCCGAAGCCGCCCACCACTTCGGGCACAAAACAGCACTGCCCGAAAATGCAAATGATCTCCGACGACCAGATGGAGAGAGCTAACATCAGGAGATAATAAAGTGATTTGGAGGCTAAAAGCCTGAAAAAACGAGCTGGACTATATCCAAACCTGCTGAGTAATACTCCTGTTTCGGCCAAGGAAGAACAAAAAGCACTGCCTATCCACAACGAGGCTGAGCAAAAACTGGGGAATGCTGGGGAGGAGTCCCATGGAGGAGGAGGAGCATTCCACAAATTAAGCCCAGCCTAGACATGCAGAGACTGAAGCACCTCCCACTACTGGATGCTCTGAACAGCTCATGGGAGAAAGAGCTTTTCCATCTTTGAATTTGCTGTTGGGTTTGCTATGGGTTCTCTCCATTGGTTGTGTTTATCACTTATTAAAAGATAGTAACACACAATTTAGCACTATTCCACCTAACCAATTCCCTCCTGTTTGCTTCAGAATAGATCTTGTATGCAATCAAGTATATCATTCCTCTGTCAAGTTAAAACATTAACTATGTTTCTAATCAGATTCTTATTTGTTTTGTTTATCATAAAAAAAGAAAGCATTACTTTATTTTTTTTATAATTGTTGGCTTTACAATAGAAAACTCTCTATAAAAACAATGAATCTTCTATTCTTATATTACTCTGCCATCAGCATTGACATCAAGTCATCTTTATTTTTTCTTTAGTGTTTAATCAACTTGTTGTTAATTAAAGTACTTTCTTATTCCATTTGGGCCAGAAAGAAATCAAATATTGAAACTAACTAAAAATCTTGCACAACAGGAGATAGAATTTAGGAACATTTTTCCTCCTGGATCATAACTACTTTTAACAAATTATACAGGAAATAATCGTAAAAAAGAAGCTCAATTGTAGAGTTTCATTTTAATCATCAAAGTTAAATTCTGACTTCCTATTTTTTTAAATATTTCAGATTAGCATGAATGCGTTTTGATTGTTTTCTAATTAATTTTACTACCATGAGATAAAAAGTTAAAGACACTTCTACTACTATCTCACTTGATGGGAAAAGGGATTGAAAATGTTCTGATATAAAGTGCCTATTTTCAAAAAATGATAAAAAATTTCTGCTAGGTTAATTTTGACACAATTTTTTTACTCTTAAAATTTAGGAGTGGGTAATTGCAATTATGTGATGGTGTTTTGTTTCTTCTATATTTATATATACAACCAAACTAATGTAATTTTAAGAGACATGCTTCTATTGAAGCTCACAAGCTTTTTAATTTCAGATGATACTGTAAAAGTCAAAAGGTCTGTTAGGATCCTTGCACATTTGCTTCCTTTTCAATTCCTTTTCTTCTTTTTTCACACTTTCAAAGCTATGTTGGAGAAATTGGCTGTATTGTAATACAGAAATATTGTAACCATAGTGAACACTGCAGTTTTAGATGAAGGAAAATATGTGAAGAAACAATAAGTTTTTTCCTCTCCTAGCTTGTCTTATTATTGATCTCCCAGAGAGCTGTGTTGCTTTTACATATGATTGACGAGCTTGAAATTCTGTACCTTAATCCCAGGCATCTCCTCAATGAACCTCCTGCTGACGGATTCCAGGGCCTCCTGCGGCCACTCATGAAACCAGTCAATAGCTGTGCAGTTAACTATGGCTGGGAACTTCCGAGCTCTAACTCGCAATGTGGAACCGACAGGAGAGAAACACAAAATGATCTGTACAGATGAAGAGAAGCAAAAAAGAAAAGGGGGGAGGGAGAGAGAGAGACTGAAGCATAACATGGTAATCAAAGAGAATAATGCAGTCAACTGTGGTGGCAATGAGCCATTGCTATGAGACTCACAAACAAAAATGCAATTTACCTAGCAGCTAATGAATTTAGGCAAATTAGGATTTTAACTTCAGAAAATGGTGTTTTATTCACTTGCACTGAGTTTTGTACAAATCCTGGATTTGATGCATTTGTGGGTTGCTTCCTGGTTCAGACCGGTATCAGTTAATAAGGCTCATTTGTGTTAATCAGTGATGCTAAAACTTAATTGTAGCATTCAGTCATCAGAGCAACTCATCTGACATAAATCACTTCCATATTTCTGATTCCAGGATGGTTCCACTTGATTAAAGTTATTTAATGCAATATGTCCATTCTTGTTTGGCTACATTTTTGTTTTTAATGCAGATATTGCCATTCTTCAAAGCTTCCTACTGATATTAGAAAATCTTGCACAGCCAAATAATTGCCTAGCTATTTAAAAATAACCAAAAATTGTATTTAGCTATCCTCATATTCCAATCCTAACAATTTTATTTTGAAAGAAAAATGGATTTGAAAGGAGCTGTTATCCAATTATGCTTTGAAATTTTTTTCCCCTATGCTACTATCCCCTTTTATTTTTCCCTTTCTTTCTACAAAAACTTACAAAAGTTTTTGAATAAATTAACTGATACATCTTCTCCAGTCCATTGTCTTTACTTATGACCTGTTGGAAGTCTGCACTGATACAGCTGCCTCTGGAAATACTAATTTTGCACAGTAGGGCATCTGAGAAGTAACAACAAGGCAAGTATGTTTCAAAAGTTTTTTTAAAAAAACTGTAAAAACAATATTTTACATTGGAATTATGAACTATTGGAACATTTGAAAACCAAATAAGGACTTATCTATTATGGAATACAATGAAAACTTTTCAAATTCTTGCTGCCGTATTACTATGTTGAGAAAGGTTCAAGATCATCTGCTGCAAATATTGCTGCCAAATTTACAAGTATGAGATTTCCTTATCTCATCTTGAGATCTCCTAAAATTTTATATGGGATTAATGACATATCACTGATTCTCCATGAAAGACTCAGCAACTAATAAACATTCTGGTCATTTTTTTTAAATTAATTTAATGAGCCATCTCATTTGGGGAAGAAATATCCCAATATGCATGGAAACCATTTTGCTATTACATCAGAGTGATTAGAGAATATCATATTCTGATTAATGTACATATCAGATTATTGGTCAAACTTGCAGGCAGATGGAGGCAGATGGATGATGAAAGGATCTCCTTCTGAGACCTTGATTCATAATTCTTTTTATGCAAATTTTTAAAAAGAAAACTAAGTTCTGTAGGCCTCATTGGGTGGAAGACTGAAATTGGCAAGTTGACTGAGAAATTATGCAGTAAACCAAAGGTTAGATTAGCTTATAGTTATCTCTAAATCAGAAAACAGCAATAAATTCTTATGGAATTATTGAAAGAGATGCAAGTAAACATGCTCTTCTTGTAATATTGGAAGAATTAATTCTTACTTTGAGTTGCAGTCGTACTTTATCTAAAAAGAAGTTCCAACAGTTTTCTCTAGTGTCAGTAAGACCAAGTTCATGTATTTCACTCTTCATTCCTGCAATAATGCTATCTCTATCTTCATCAGTGAACAGATCTGGAATTTCTCCTTGATTAAAGCAAATAAGTGTTGCAGGAAACCGATATAATAAAAAGAATATACATGCATTTACTGTTGATATGTATCTTATAAAAATTTCTAATTTCCGCTATAATGTTGCTTACAGTTATAGGGCTATTAGTTTAGTTTTAAAAAGTTATGATTATATATACAAAATATTTATAGATTCAAAATAAACTATTAAATATAAATATGTACTTATGGCAAAGAATCTTTTACTTCAGCTAAACATGAATGAAATTTCTTTCTTTTCCTTCTTTATTATATATATTTTCTGGTTAAAAAGCTAGTATTTAAACTGTCAGAGTTATTCCACTATTAATCTAAAGCATTCACATAAACTATGCTTTTTTCACTCCAATAGAGTTTCTATGTTGAACCTATCAATCCATTCAAAACAGTCAAAGTGAACCAGTAGGAATGTATACTTATGCTCTATATAACCTTATGATTGGTTCTCAAGAAACAACATGGCTACTTTTCAAGCAAACAATGCACAATATTGAACTTACTAGGCTTAATAGATATTTTGTCAAAGAACACCCCACCCACATTGGAAAACATCTCACAGACAAATAACCCCTTTTTAAAGTTCATTGAAACACCTGATAATTTGTCATTGAGAGAATCTCTCAAGAAATGTGTAGGTATAATCACCTGATGCCAACAAGTCATTAATCAGCACAAGAAAGTGTTCATCTGGAACTTGAGCATCTGTCAGCAAAAACACAGTGGGAATGTTCTTGGCACCTGTCTTGATATACAAACTGGCAAGATCTACCTGTAAGGGAAGGAGGTAATTACTCACGTTAACTTAAAATACAGAAACTAGGAGGAAGGAAGCAACAATCAGTGGGAAAAATGCTAGTAATTGGAATGCATTGTTTTTGCATCTCCTCATAATTTATATCCCTTAATGTGACTCATCACTTTTCAGTGATCTTTTTGAAATCTATCATTGATTTGTTTTTTATATAATGGAAATAGAGAATTCAGATCTGAGTGCTGAATGAACATGGAACTTCTCATTATACATCCTTCACTTATCTCAAAAGTGCTTGTTCATTGTGTTAAGACAACACTAATCATGTTTGTTATTTTAAGTACATAGTTGAAATATCTTGAAAAATCACTTAGACCCCAGAAGAAAAGTGCCTGTCTCTCAACAGTTCTATAATTAAGTCTTTATGTGCTTCTCTTACGGTTTGTAAAAGGCTGTGTTACTGTGATAAAAGTTTTGTTGATTTCAGGTAATTTTACTATAAAATTTTCCTAAGAAATCTTCTCAGAGTAGATTCATATGATTAGTAAGTCTATAGTAGGCAACTTAGGTGTAGTTTCATAATATTTAATATTCCTATAGATAATTGACAGTGAAATAATTTGTAAACAATTATTCAGTTAAATGGGAAGGTAAATGAACACAAAGCTGACTGAGGAATTCTGGGACTTGAAGTCTACAAGTCTTAAAGTTGCCAAGTTTGGAGATCTCTGGTCTTGCAGAATTGGTTTTCTCTCTTTGTTTCTCTGGAAGACCAGAAATTTAACACATCCAGATAAACTACCGCCATATTTTTAGTGAGCCTGATAAAACAAGCACATGTAACCACCACGTGTACAAATAGATCTGCATGCATGCCTCACCCCTACTTTCACATCTTGATTCTGAATGGCCCCCAGCCTGTTAGGGCTATGGCTTGCGGGTTGGGGACCCGTGCTCTAGATGATTGAACAATAACACTGGACATACCTTGAGATCCTCTATTGTGTAGTCTTTTCTCAGTGTAATTTGAAATACTTCAAGAGAGCCAAGGTAGGCAGCTAGTCTTGATAAACTTTGTTTTCCGCTGCCACCCACTCCAATCAAAAGTGCATAACCACAAGAGGACTCCAAGATTCTGTTAATACGACATCTGACAATGAAAAAAAAAACCTAGTACATTAGTAGCTGCAGAATAATGTTGCAGTTCTCATGTGGGGATAATGCATCTGGCTTGTGCAAAATAGAAACATTTGATTTACTTCAATATATTAACATTTTTTCCTGATAAACATCATGAAAGGTTTTGACATATTATGATTATTACTCTCTTACTAATATATCCTATTTTTCTATGGGAGCTCAAAGAAGCACATATAGATGATTTTATCCTTATAGCAGTAGTCCTGTAAAGGAGATTTACCTGAAAAATAGAGACTGACTGGAAAATATCCTGTGTACTTTGTAATCAGGTTAACAACAGCAAACAGCCCAATCTAACATAGAACACTCAGTAATTTATCATCAATATGTGACATCCATAAGCGTGTGTGGGGTCACCAACCTTTTGGGCCTCAGGGACCACCAAACTCATAATTTAAATCCCGGGGACTACTAATATGAATTTTGATTGATGGTGGCTTGCTGACATTGGTGAGAGAGAGAGAGAGTGATCTGATCTAACCTCTCTCTCTCCCTCTCTCTCATACACACACATACAGAAACACACAGAATCAGGGGTGGGATTCAAATTTCTTAACAATCGGTTCTTGGGCATGTCCTAATTTGTGGGTGTGGCCAGGGATGGGATCTGACTGGTATAACTACCAGTTCTGTCTATTAGCGTCGCGCGCGCATGCACGAGTCTTTCGAATGCAATTTACAACCTGCTGAGCTGCCCAGACAGCTGAGCAGTGCTGCGTGCAAGTGCACAGCGGTTGGAAAAGCCCTTTTTTCCTGCTTTTTCAACTGCAGCTGTGTCACGCAAAGGAAATAAAAGTCAGGTAAGAGATCGGGCGGCGGGTGGGCCACAACAGCATCAGACATAGAACCGGTTCTATGCCTGTTGCTCTTCGGAGCAACCGGTTCTATAGAGGTGGACAGAACTGGTAGAAACCCACCCCTGAATGTGGCTTGGTGATCATGTGATTGGCTAGGCATGGCTTGTATGTAAATATTATAAATATTTATGTAAATATTGATTTTGTTTTATAAAAGAAGAGCAACTTTTACCCAAAATCAGGCAAAGCAGGCAGGTAGATTGAGTTGCTCACAGAATCACAGATTCACTTAGAGATCTGTGTTTCTGCCATCAGCTATCTGAGTCTGCAACTGAATAATAGAACCTTCAGTCCTAAGGGAGGTTCTAAAGATCTAAAGATTAGAAGAAAGCAAGAAATCCAACAATTTCCTGCTTTCTAACTAATCTAAATCTCCCAGCACAGCAGAACAGCTGATGGTGGGGGGGAAAAGAAGAAGGAAAAATAGCAACTTAACAGGCAAGTTTGCCAGGTAAGGAGTGAGTGGATGGGGAGGGTTTCCGCGGGCCATGTGGGCGGCACAGCCTTGTGTTCCCACACAGCCTGGATTAATTGCTTTGGGGAGTGCTATGGGGGTGACATTTCTCTGTGGACCACCAAAATTTTCTTGCGGACCACCAGTGGACCACGGCCTACCAGTTGGCAACCACTGCTATAGTGTCAAAATTAACAAAATGGTTGATGAAAACTGTGAAGCAAATTCTGCTCCCTTTTAATACATGCATTCTGTCCCATGTATAAAAGGAATCAACCATCTTGCAACCATCTTGTGCATTTTAACACTTCCTTGATAGTGAAATGATCAACTGGATTTTGTTTTTGATTTTACTGGAGAATAGATAAGCAAATAGGTGTGGATATGTATATGTTATATGAAAGATAATAAGCAAACAGTAAGAAATATTTCTAGTTTCAAATATCATTTTCGTAAGGACATTGTACATGAGGCTACAGGGAATACTGAGGGCCAGATTTCTGAAAGGCCCAATTGTAAGGCTTAATCAAATCAACTTGCTTTTTAAAATACCTTAAATATAAAAAGGAACCCTCTATGGGGCTTGGAAAATCACAAAGTATATGTTCAAAGGTTGCCCCAGATCACACTTTTTGTATCATTGTTATACCAATGAATGTGCAGGAGGTGTGGTGGTGCAGTGGTTAGAATGCAGTACTGCAGGCTAATTCTGCTGACTGCAGTTTGTCAGTTAGATTCTCACTAGGTCAAGGTTGACTTGGCCTTCCATCCTTCCGAGGTCAGTAAAATGAGAAGCCAGATTGTTGGGGGCAATAAGCTGACTCTGTAAAGTGCTTAGAAAGGATTGTAAAGCACTGTAAAACAGTATATAAGTTTAAGTGCTATTGCTAGTCCTACTCAGCAGCAGAAGATTTTTATGCCTTGTTCATGTTTCTCTCTCTATAAATAAATAAATCCAAATATAAAACACCCCATATAAACATTTACTTACACATGCTGAATAGCATCCTCAAATAAAACTAAGTTCATTGATGCATTTATTTCATTGTAGTTTTCTAGAGCTTCAAGGAGTATCTTCCTCAGCATTTCCCAGTCTTTGACAGGCATATAGTTATGGTCTGCCACACCATTTGCAAAATGACAGTAAATAAGAGGTTTTTGAAGAAGAATATGATCTTCCACATCCTAGTAAGTTAGCAACATGACATCGAAAAAAGAAAGTTAATATTCTGAAATGAATTGCAAATTATTTTGCTAGTCAATCATTTATTGTTGATTAACCATAAGGCCACATCAAATATCTTCTAAAAAAAGTTTCAATGTCAAAACATTTTACAGTTGCCGCAACCAAAGGTTTTATTCTTAATCTCATGTAACCTTCTTTAACAAGATTTATTTGGATAAAATGAATAAGGTCACAAGAATTTCTATAACTGAGCTATTTACCATTTAAAAATAATTTATTTCCCAATGTACACTATGATATAGATTTTCTTAGTTTTTTTCTAGCAGCTTTCTTGTGAATTCAAAGGAAGCAGTTCATTTCACTAATGGCAGAACAATCTATAGGTGGCTGTTTACAAAAACTGTCACCTATATTCTCAGTCTCTGAATGATATATTTATCATTTATTAATTTTGGTACATGTTCTTTTTAACTTTTATTGTCAGTGATTAATGTTTGTCTGTTTTTCCCTTCATTTTTCTTTTTTCTCCTATTTTGGAGACAAAAATTTAAGAGATAATTTAAAAACATTAAAAAGATAATGACAGCTAAGAGTGCCAGCTTTAGCATTACAGCAGCAGTGATCCATATGGATAACTGAGTTAGCATTATAGGTTTCTGCCATTATAGCTTTAATTATGTATACCTTATAAAAGGAAATCAGAGTGTTCAAGATCCTGGTGTGGAAGGAGGCTCTAACTGCTTTGTTTCACAAGGGAGAAAGGAATAATAATTTAAGCTTTCTCTGAACATTCTTTTCTTCAAAACTATTTTTCCCTACTTCAATAAGCCTACTTATTGAAGTGGGAAACTAAAACTAAAAAAGCAGATTATTTAAAAATAAATAAAAGAATTTAAATAGTTAAACTCTTTTTTTTTTTTTGCTTGACTGTATTCCAAATTCTCTCATTTACTAATGCCCATCAGTTAACTCTGCAAGAAATTAAAATATATGTAGTTAAACAATATATTTCCTATGCAGAACTGTCTATAAAGAACATTTTATTTTCTTCTTACTATAAATATATGCGGAATAAGGGTGAATTGGTTTTATAATGATCTGGGAATATGCTGTTTCATGACACAATTTTAAAGGCAACCATACATCAAAAAAGTTAAAAAGACACGCTGTTTGGGAGCTTCACAAATTATTAAAATTCCTTTTAGTTAGAATAAAATAATATTGCTATAAACAAAACAAAACCCTACTTAGCAGTCAGAGATTTCACTGACAGGATGCCTTTTTCCTGAAAAGAGCATAAATATGGGGCTCCTAATGAACTCTTCTCAAACCAAACAGTAATCCTATGTCTTTATTTACTGTAGATGTATTTTAAATGCTTATGGTTATAAAAGAAAGTAGTATGTTACATTAAAGTTTTTGTTGCATGTATTTGTATTTCATTTCTTTTTCTTGGAACTTAAAAGATTAAAAGAATTTCCAAATAATTAGTGGTAGATATTTAGTACTAGTTATTTACCTCAAAATATTTATGTGCAGTATCTATCAACTTTTTATAAAACAAATTGCAATCTTTTTCTTCTATCAATTTATCTCCATAAACACGTGAAGACTCATGAAGCCACAAACGAACAAGATCATGTGGATGCTTCAGACACTCCAGTTTAGCAAACCGAATCCCCTTAAATAAAAAAAGGAAGTATCATAATACACAATTAGCAAGATATGCAGAACATATAAAGTGGTACCAGCAGCTCGCTTTTTAAACTGAGAACTGCATGTAAACTATACCTTCCAACAATTACATGCCCAGCTATTTTGGGACTGCTTTTTCCTAATCTTATTTACATTCAAAATAAAAAATTTTCTTTGTGATTATGCCAAACTATCAAGGTGAGAGTGGGCACCAATACATACATTCTTAAGACAATCTTAAATGAATGAAGGCCCAAGTTAAGTTCTGACAGTATGGTATTACAACCAATATTTCTCCTTGTCTTCAAATAGAATCACATTTATTTTAAATGCAATAAATTGATTTCCTCAATCTATCAGAATGGAGCTAGAAGAGACCTTGGAGGTCTTTTAGTCAAGGCCCCTGCTCAAGCAGAAGACCCCATACCATGTGACTGTTTAGTCTCTTCTAAAAATCTCAAGTGATGAAGCAGCTACAACTTTTGATGGCAAGCTGTTCCACTGGTTAACTCTCCTCACTGTTAGGAATTTCGGGTTGCTTCTCTCCTTGATTAGTTTCCATCCATTGTTTCTTAGTTTAGTTTTACTTTATTGTCATTGCACCTCATACAACGAAATCAAACACCATCTTCAGTGCACATCATGACCATGACCATGAAAATAAACACAAACACACACGCTTCACCCTTCCCACATTGAACCGGAAATGCTCAACACCACACCAACACTACACTATATAGCAGCCCTGCTCTCTGGTGTTTTGGAAAATAAATTGACCCCCTCCTCTTTGTGGCAGCCTTTCAAATACTGGAACTACTGTCCCCCCTATTCCTTTTTTCTCTAGTCTAGCCAATCCCAAATCCTGCAACCATTATTCATATGTTTTGGTTTCCAGGCCTTTAATCATTTTAGTTGTTTTTCTTTGCAATTTTTCAAAGGGTCAGCATCTTTTTTGTAACATGGTGACCAAAACTGGATGCAGTATTTCAGGTGCTGCTTATTAAGGATTTATAAAGCATTATTAAATAAATTCAATTTTTGCATGCAAATAAGTAAGAGTATTACTCCTTACAGACCTGGAAGATGTTAGAGAGATCTCGGAGGTTGAAAATGTAATGGAATTTAATAGCTGTGGGGAGAAAGCTCTGAACCATTGTCTGGTGAAGCCATATTGCAGCTTGAATCAAGGAAGGTCCATGATTTAATATAGATGAGTTAAAATTATACAGCTGAAAATGGAAATCAAGAATCTTGCCATAGATGGTGCTCAGAGCATCAGCAGAGGGAAAATTCATAGCAAACACAGCAAAATGTCTCTAAAATATGAAGATATTAGGTTTTAGTGATACTGTTATATGAATAGCTACTTAAGAACACAATTGTGAACAAAGGACAATAGTTAATAAGATACATTTGGCATAAGAATCCTCATGCAATTTTATTTTCAAGTCTACAAAAGAGCTATTTCTAAGTAAACAATTTCATATGATGCTCACATAAACAATAAAAATGAAAAAAGAAATCTAGGTATAACTGCCCAAGTATGTAAATTCTTATATGACCACAAAGGTTCACTGTCCTATTGCAAGACTTTGATGTCCAGTGCAAGGACACTGTGTTATTCTAGTCCATTATCTAAGGTCATAAGGTGGTCTGTTTAGTTCTATTTTCCAGAACTTTGCACTACAAAAATCCATCCCTGTTTACATGATGTATATGGAATAACTACACCTGCTTAATAGCAACTAGATCTATTATGGTTCTATTGGAGGCTGTTATTTGAAGAAGAGAAATAAATGCTATGAAAACATGATGGGACAGAGAATTGAGCTCCTTTCATGGTCCAAATACCTAATCTGCACTCCAGGAAGTAGCGGAGCTTTAATTGCATGGTTTTAGCTGTCATCTTGACTTTTCTAACCCTCCCCCTAGTGGGTATCCCTGATTACTATGCTGAATTTCAAGTTTTAAAGTGGTAGAAAATAGAATAACAACCCTATTTGTTTAAGCTCTCTATTCAGACATGCTTTCACTCAGATAACCCTCATGTTTATAAACACCTCTGTCCTCATAGAAATGAACCAGAATTGTGAGGTGTTTTAATGAGTTGGAAGCTATGCATACTACTATACTGGCAGACCTTCTTTTGCTATCTGTCAGTCTCCTGTTTCCACCAGAGTAGAAACTGATATGCTCCACATTTATCTTTATTTTTATTTATTTATTTGTTTGTTTTTTTGTTTGTTTGTTTAGATTTGTCAATCACTTACAAGATAATAGGTATAAGTATATACATAGTTATGAATATATGAAATGGGTACATATAAGAAAAATAAAAGAAACAATAGGACAGGGATGGTAGGCAGCGTTGGTGCGCTTATGCATGCCCCCTGCAGACCTCTTAGGAAAAGGATGAGGTCAATAGTAGACAGTTTAAGGTTAAAGTTTTTGGGATTTGGGGAAGAAACCACAGAGTCAGGTAGAGTATTCCAGACATTGACCACTCTGTTGCTGAAGTCGTATTTCCTGCAGTCAAGTTTGGTGCGGTCATTGCCTTTCATAGTCATCTTGAAGAAAAAATAATGGTCTTTGCATTCTTTCTTCTGTTTAAAAATGCATTCACCTGCCTAGATTAAAAAATTCCAAAGGCAGTAACAATAACAACAAAACTAAAAACTTTGGGGATTATTCTGAAAAAAACATTTTTAGTGGCCTTCTACTGAATGGCCTCATTTTGGTGTTCTTATGATTAACAACTGAAAGCTATGTTCAGTCTCTTTGCGTTACTGGAATTGTTTTGTCAAAGAGTCATTTGACAAGTCTTTTGTAAACTGAAATAAATTTTAGGCAGCTGTTTATATTTTAAATATATATGTTATGTTGTTTTATGCTGTTCTGTTCTGTTGTGATAGTTATTTTATTATTACCTTATATTATATATTATTATATGACAAAGGTTCAAACAGTCAACAGATGATTTTTCCCAGTAATAAAATATGGCTGCGAGAGTTGAACCACAAGGAAGGCTGAGGGCTGAAGAATTGATGCTTTTGGATTGTGGTAATGGAGAAGACTCCTGAGTACCCTTGGGCTGCAAGAAGATCAAATCAGTCAATTCTAAAAGGAGTCAACTATTCTTTGGAAGGATAGATACTGAAGCTGAAGCTCAAATATTTTGGCCACCAGATGAGTCATTAGAAAAGCCTTGCTGTTTGGAAAGATTACAGGCAAAAAGAGAAGGGGATGAAAATATAAGATGGGTTGGGTCCAAAGAGTTAGATAAAAGTTTGTGACTCAACGACAAGAAATATACTTCAAAAAATCCAATTCATAATCTTACTTGAAGTCGTGGGTTGATGGTAAAACTGCCAACAGTGGGGTTCATGCAGGCAACATACTGACAGTGATTAATTTCTTTCACAGTTAATGTCTGCCTATCATACCTACGGAGACAAAAAGTGTTTTTAATATTTATGATTGATTTAAAAGCAGAACATCCTCCTAGATAATAAACATGTTGGTCTCACACAATAGATATGGCCATCAGCATCCATCAGTAATTAATCAAAACTAAATCTCTAGAAAACAAATACTACTATATTTAAAATTTAATAGAAATTTGGAAAAGCATAAATGAAATATTATGTACAACATAGCATAACAAGCATTTTCATCATAAAGAATATATATTTGAGTTCAACATGTTAACTTCTTTTTCTTTTTTACAATTTTTTATTTAACATTTATGCAATTAAAAACAAACAAATAAACACACACACACATACACACGCACGCACATATATACATTTTACAGTTAGCTTTAAGCGCTGGTTACACTTGTATTTTCCTATTATTGATGTATTCTACCTTGTTACAATAACTTCCTCATCCTTTTAGAGTCTTTAGTTCTCTATAAACTTTACAATTATTTGCACATCTCCCTTATTTTCTTCAACCAATCAAAAGCAGATATTCCATATTTTGTAATAGTCACTATCTTGATTATTTTTTAACTGTTTGGTTAAACTGTCCATCTCAGCACACTCATGCATTTTTTAAATTATCATGTCTTCTGAGGGGATGGTGGCCAATTTCCAATTTTGACCAAAGCTTTTTCTGGCCGCAGTTATGATATGCAGAATCAGATATTGGTCTTTTCCCCCATTTTTGGATCTATCATGCCTAATAGAAATTTTCAGGTTCAAATTTTAGTTCTTGTTTTGTTATATCCATTATCCAAGTTCTAATTTTTTGCCAAAACTTCTGTGCACGTGGGCAAGTCCAGCACATGTGGAAATATGTTCCTTGGATATAGTTACACTTCCAGCAGTTCGATGGCAAATTGGGGAACATCTTAGCTCATTGCGCTGAAGGTAAATGCCAGCAATGCACCATTTTATATAGATTTTCTTTATAGAAAACTGACATAGTTAATCTATAATTTTTCTGCCAGATATGTTCCCATTGGTCTAGGTTGATATTATGGCCCACAGTCTTAGCCCAAACTATCATACAGTCTTTAACTGTTTCCTCTTTTAATTTATAGTCTAATAGGTATTTATAAATTTTACATTCCTCATCCAGTGCCTTTGAAAGAACAAATGTTGTTTACTCTTTCCATCCCACATAAACGCATGCCAGCCAAGTTGGAGTTGCATGTTAATAATTTCATAAGACCTAGCAATGGCTAAAGCAGGAAAATTGCAGAAAGGACAGAGGGTCTAATTCAGACTAAGACCAAAGCTTAAAAAGAAATTCATACAAAACCAAAATTGAGAAGACAGCAACAGACAGCAAATGTTGTATCTGCAGAGAAGCTGAAGACCCAGTGGACTAGTTAGCTGTTGCAAGAAGAGTACATAAACTGACTACAAACAATGTTATAACAAAGTAACAACAATGGTGCATTGAAAAATCTGGAAGAAATACTTGCCAGGATGCAGAACTGGTGGGATGACAAAGTACACAAAGTAATAAAAAAGCTAAAGTGCTCTGGGACTTAAGAATTCAAATGAACAATACTTACTGTGTTTTCCCAAAAATAAGACTCTGTCTTATTTTCTTTTAGACCCAAAAATAAACACCAGGTCCTATTTTCAGGATATGTCTTACCTGCTTACCTTATGACCACTGCAGCCAGGCCTCCATGCCCCGATATCTATTGTGTCACTTCCTGACTTCTTCTGTGGCCGCTCACAGCCACTCATGGCCAGATGTCATGTGGTGTATTACACTGGTGCCGCCACTTGTGGCAGGATGCCGCATGGCTCATCATGCTGTTGCTTATGGCAGAAAGCTGTAGCACATGGCATCCTGCCACAAGTCATGGCACTGGTGCAACCTACCATGTGGTGACCGGTCACAGAAGTTGAGCAGCAGCACAACAGGTGTCGGGGTGTGAGAGGCCTGGCTACAGTGCTTCTAAGGTAAGTGGGTGCGGGGCGCATAGGGGAGCTCTACCCCCTGACTTCCACCCTACCTTGATTTTTACACCTCGCCCCATTTCATACAACTAGACAGTGGGACAGAGTGGGTGGGATCTTAACAAGGGCTTATTTTGGGGGTAGAGGTTTATATTAGTTGCACACATAAAAATCAAGATAGGGCTTATTTTCCTAAAGATCTTGTTTTGGGAGAAAAATGGTATCACATAACACTTAAATCTAGTTAGTGAATATTGCAGCAGAGTAGAAGAAAAAGAACTGGAGAAGATAATAAAAGGCAAAGATTGGCAAATAGAAATAGAATAGCTAAAGAAATGAAAGTACTAGGTACTTTGTGAGTTGTAGTATATAGGTACTGGGTGTTTCAGGTGCAAACTCAAAACAACTAGAGGACTATCTACTTGAACCCCATCAGTATTGATAAAATCTGATAAATCTCCATCATTCAATTGCAAAAATAGCAAAAGGCAACTTTACTTACTGGAAAGCTTACATTTTGCAAAGATGCCTTTAACACCATGAAATGACGTCTACCTATCCAAAATCCTTGAGGAACGATAGGTTAATTAAAATACTAAATCCTGTCTAAACATCTGGCTGACTGCGCAACCAACCATAATAATAAAGACTTACCAATGTCTATAGCCAACCATAATAATAAAGACTTACCAATGTCTATAATCTATGTGCTGCCGAATTAGTGTATGAGGCTGAACTGTCCCATAAATGTCCACTTCTGGCATGTTCAGGTCATCAATAAAATAAATTAATTTTTTGTTTCCCACAGGACCATAGTTACGACCAGCTTTTTTCTCTAAGGGTTTTTCAAGAATTCCTAAAATGTGTTATGGTGCATGATTATTTAATAATATAAAATAGATCTATAATTAAAATGCAATTATTTAATACATTTATATCTTGCTTTTCTATTAAAAATATAGAGAGTAGCTTTCCAACAGAGGCATTCAGGAAACATCACAAATGTTCATGAAAAAAGTGCTTAAGCCACAAAATAACCAAGTAACTTAATACAAAAACAGAAGAGAACATTGTACTCAAATTAAATTACTCTTGTTAGAACAGTGCTTTCTTCATCCGTTCCAGATTGGAAATGTTTTCTGTTCATTTTATAACAGTGTACGATGTTGACTTAAAAAGAATTTGCACTGAACATAAACTGTGCTACTCATTGATTGGAACCTGTTCTTTTTTCTGACTTATGTAACACAGCGGTTATTAACTATTTAAAAGTGCATTTTCTTTTAAAAGGCACTTTATTACCAGCAAAAGTTAATAATTATTTGAATCTCTTGAAGAAACATTGACTGACATTCATTTATTACCAGTAATAAATTATTTTAAAGTATAATCATAATTTGAAATATAATTATAATGTAAACTGAATGAATTATAAATTGTTTGCTGATTATTGGACAGAAATATCATTAAGTATTTTTCTTAAGAACAGTTAAACCTTAACATATTTAATATCCTTATTCATAATTAGTTTTTTATCTCTTTCTCCCTCACTTGCACTGACATATATATCACATATTCACAACATGTACCAAAGAATAATACACAGAACATATATGTTACTTCAGTTACCCAAAAAAATGTCTTTCATGAGCTTTATTCAGGGTTATCACTATCCTGCCATAATACTAAAATTGGGTACATGAGTTTATATATACATAGCATGTGTTCAATGTACTATAATAATCTTATTAAAACAGTAGACACATCAAATGAGTTTGGTGACCTTACTGCCATATTTTAAAGTAGTCAGTCTTGAATTATAGTTCTCCAAATGGTATTAACTGGTTTGCAATTTTGTACTCCTGAAACTTTTTTTAGCTGTGCTCTTCATGTGTAATCTAAGCAATTATAAAATATTCCAGAAACATGTTTACAAGTGCATGAGTATGAGGTGTGCTATATTTTAAATTAACAAAGTGCATTAATTCTCTTCCTAGGATGTTAAAACTTTTGCTATAATTCTAAATCAGGATACTTGAAAAAGAAAGATATGTGTTTTCAATATGTTTCCTATTCATATTTGCAAATGAGAAAAATTTGAACAAAGTAAATATGGTTGCAATCCAGCACCAGCATTTTATGTGACAGAAGGATCACGTCCATGTCCATTTTGAAAACAGCTCCCTGTAGCCAGTCCTTTTACTGATAAAAACTATGACTTATATAATAAGCAGATGACATATCATTATATCCTTGAGCTCTACATAGGCCTATATTAAATTATAAATGTTTAGATGTTGCAACTAAGGCAAAAGATGACAGGTAGAAGAATGGAAGCCTGGAGATGACTGCCATTTGTTTATCATGCAAAATTTAAAATGCTGATATTAAACTTCAAATTATTTAGGATGTCTGAAGATGTCTCCATTGTCTTTCTAATCTAGAGTTCTGTAGAGGGTTTCTCACCACTGGCTCCAAAACTGTGGAATGTAGTTTCTCAGCTTTTTGCCACCATTCTTCCTTTCTTAGAAGACCAGCCAAAATATAACCTCTAATTTTGATTTGCTTTTATGAATGATTTTTAACAAATATTTTTATTAGTGATTATTAGTTGCCTTGAATCTTCACACTGAGTGGAAAGGTACAGTAGAACAGTCAGAAGAAACATTCTGAAAGAGTATTACAGAGTAGGAAGGGATGAGATGGAGGATACAGTATAATATACTTGGTTGCTGAATAATTTTTACATGCAGGAATTTTTTTTTTTAAGGGAAGACAAACAGAAAGGGTGAAAAGGAAAGGGCACTCAGATCAAAAGAGGTAAGAAGCAAATGCAAGGTCAGTAATAAAGAGCTCAGATGATTATACACTAATGCTCAAAGGGACAGCCTGAACAATAACAATAGAGCCGGCTTACTTTGTAATGTTGCTGAACTGGTGTAATAGTTGAATGGAACTTTTGAGACCAGAAAATCTTTTGAAAGGGTGGCCAGGCATTTCCCAATAAGCAATGTTTTGCCTACCCCAGCATTTCCAACCAGCATCACTGGCTTGCTTTTTTCCAATAGCAGTTCCACAAAATATTTAAGACATGTGGTTTCAGATGTGTGAACAAGCTCTGCCTAAAACACACACACAAATACACAAACCAGTGCAGGTAGTCAGCATATTGATGTTAATATACTACTGAAATCTATTTACATTTTTAAATATCACTTACTACAGAGTGCAGAGTCAATGATTATGTACGTTTGTCCAATGTAAAAGTTTTAGCATTTTTGATTATTTGTAAAGATCTGAAATAATAATTTTTGATTATTTGTAAAGATAGGGACACGGTGGCTCAGTGGCTATGACGCTGAGCTTGTTGATCGAAAGGTTGGCAGTGGTTCGAATCCCTAGTGCCACGTAATGGGGTGAGTTCCCGTTACTTGTCCCAGCTTCTGCCAACCTAGCAGTTTGAAAGCACATTAAAAATGCAAGTAAAAAATAGGGACCACCTTTGGTGGGAAGGTAACAGCGTTCTGTGTGCCTTTGGCATTTAGTCATGCCGGCCACATGACCACGGAGACGTCTGTATGTGTTTTTTCTCTTTTCTACTTTCACTCACATAAAGAAATTAGAAACTTTGCTTTAGGTCACTGAAATGTAGTTCCATGAGCTTCTTTCACGATATCCTTTGTAAAGAAATGGAACTATTAAATGTTCCCACCATATCAATTTAATTGGTTTCCATTAGTTTCTTTCTCCTGTTATTAGATGTAAAACATATAAAAGCAGCCCTAATGTGTACTGTACACAGATTTTAAAAGAAGCATGCTTTTAGGAAAAAAATGAAAACAACAAAGATAAAACCTCAAAGCCCCCACATTCATCTCTTATTATTTATTAACAAGAAAACAAATTAAAATACCTGAAAGGGTGTTTCTGGATCCATGACAAAACTGCTAATTTTATCATTCCAAGAGAAAAATTTCTTAGTTTTGGGGTCAAGATAATAGTCAAATATTGTACCATGAGAAGGAAACTTCACAAATTTCATCTCTTTAAGCCACCATTGGCTAAATTCAGCTCGGTAACTGTAAAGCTATAAAATATTGATTTTGTTATCTAACTGTATATATGATACTGTACAATCATTTAGCTATTAAGTGTACATTGCCTGGGAACATATATCAATATTGTGAAATAATTTAAATTGCATTCTATCAAACATTTTCATTGCTTCAAAATAGGAAAATATTTCTACTGGGGAGAGTTTCTTTAGATGATTTTATTCTTAAAATCTAAACTAGTTACCAAACAATCTAAACCTGTATGTGGGTTTTCTTAAATTCCATTTTCTCTAATTCCATTTTTTACTAATTATGAATATTTTTGAAGAGAATACGAAAAAAAAATCATTGAATATATCTATCCTAATAATTTTTGGAAATTATTTTGATTTATGTGATGCACAGCATACATATTTGATTACATCTGTGTTTTTTCATTTTCAGTAAAAAAGTTCCTGCAGATGGTCCAGGTAGTCCTCAAGTTACAACAGTTCACTTAAGCAGTCATTCAAAGTTACAATAGCCCTTTAAAAAGTGACATGGCCATTTTTCTCACTTACAACTATTGTATCATCTCCATGATCATGTGATCAAAATTCAAATGCTTGGCAACTGATTCATATTTATGATAGTTGCAGTGTCCCAGGGTCATGTGATCACCTTTGTGAACTTCTGACAAGCGAAGTCGATAGGAAAATCAGATTCACTTACAACTATGTAACTAACTTAATAATTGCAGTGGTTCACACATCAATTGTGGCAACAACAACAAAAGATCCTAACATGGAGCAAAACTCATGTAACAACTGTCTTGCTTAGCAACAGAAATTTTCGGCTCAATTGTGATAATAAGTCAAGGACTATATACCGCAACTTACAACTTTCTACCTAAACACCTATGTTAGCTCTATGGAACACCTCAGATCCAAAGGAAACAAGGTGTTTTAGACCATATACAGCTGCAAATGTGTCAGCTTGCATTTCCTTCAAATAGCTGTAGGTATTACACACACCCTCTTTTTTCCTTCAAAGCTAACCTGATGTGTTATTTCTTATAGTATACTGATGTATCTCTGATGCCAGTTTATCTTTGTTCAGTTTATTTACAAACAACTTGTGCCACTTATGACCTTTATTGTGTAATTTATTTCTCTTCAACTTCCAGCCAAAATATATGAAAAATATAAGAGCCCATTCAATTCTTTTTAGTCTTTCTTGAAGGATCATGATCCACTCTGAAATTGGTAATATTATTTATGACATGGAGACTGCCTCTAACATGAATAAGACATTTAATCCATCCTCTTTTACTGACTCTGTTGGCTGTATTTTTATTGCACAGGTGAAAGACCATATACAACAGTTTGCTTACCTGAACAGCCCCCCCCCCCCCCGCCAAATTTGGAATTTAAACAAGTTGATTTTTGACATACCTGGTCTTGAAATAGAGCCCCACCAAATGCCCACACACAGGCGAAGGCAAAATATGTTTCATATAGGTCTCTAGGTCCATCAGGGGACATATTTTCAGAGGTCAATAAACAGTCAAGGAGAGTACAAAGAGTCTACACACAAAAAGAAGGAAACAAGCCAGAGGAAAATTCAAAAGATGGAGACATATATTTTGTGTGGGTCCCCAACCACCGGGCCACGGACTGGTACCGGTCCATGGAACATTTCCTACCGGGGCGCCGGTTTGCTGGGCGCCGCCATCTTGTTTGACGAGAAAGTGCTTCCGGGTGAGCTTTTCCGGTTGGAAAGCGGCGTTTGGGTCCTGAAGGAATCCTCACGCCTTAGTTTCATCGAAGTGGGGGGGCTTCGAACGAAACTAAGGCGCAAGGATTCTTTCAGCACCCAAGGCAAGGCGAGCCGAGCGACTGTCCCGAAGCCGTCCCGAAGCGAAGCCCATCGACAAAGGTACAAAGGAGGAGTTGAAGGTGGCGGGGAGAAGCAGGGGACGGCTGGCTGGCCGGTCGCTCGGCTCGCCTTGCCTTGTCATGCGTGCTGATGCCAGTACCGGGCCGTGGATCATTTTGTGATGCCGGTACCGGGCCGCGGCACAAAAAAGGTTGGGGGCCACTGTTATAGATGATAAGGCAAGCATAAGTAAATGGCATATAAACAAAGAAATTATACCATAAGAAAGTAGATTATTGAGCTTAATTACATGCAATATTCAAATTAATTTCATGCAAAACATATTAAACTTTTTCTTTTCCTCTCAGCGTGAAGGAATGAAAAGCAAAGAGATAGTGAGAATAACGGCATAAAGATCCTGACACTATACTGTTATATGCAACCTGTGGCCTTGAACCTTTCTAAGATTGCATCACTGGATTCAATAGTAATTTGCCAGTTTTCTGCGGTAGTCCGTTTTCCAAAACACAAATGTATGTGTTATACTTTTAGCAGGATAATTCAGTTTTCAGTTTAAAATGCCAAACCCCAAGATACTGGGAATCACTGTGTAAATTGAGCAGCTACATTAATTTGTTTATGTAAATAAATAAACATTTTACATGCAAAATTACAGTTCTCCACTTTCTAATAATTTATTCTTTCATAATGATAATGAAACTGTCAGAGCCCTTTTTATAAAAATGAAGTCTGTCTTTTTAAAAAAATCCTGTTTATGTTCAGAGAACATTAAACACCTCCAAAATGGGGAGGGGGGGATTCTTTACACCTAATGAGCACCAACAGAAAAGAGGTTGCATGACTGAATGCAGGAGCTTTTTTAAAATAGTCAAGTAAATCATCCTCTGGCAATTGGTTCCATAACTGTATAATTATATTATTCTATTGTAATACTACATACACCATAATAAGAGTTTTTTTCCCTTACAGTCTGAAATAAGTATACATGGTTGCTACTATACATCATAGATTGAAATGGATTATCTCAATCCCTATCAGTCAAGACAGAAACAGCATTGGTTGCACTTTTGGATGATCTCTGGCAGGAGTGGGATGGGGATAGTGCATCCATCCTTGCTCTACTTGATCTCTTGGCCGATACCATCGACTATGGTATTCTCCTGGAGTGGCTTCGGGGGATATGCTATCCTGGTTCACTTCCTTCCTCAGCAGCTGCTTGCAGTCAGTGTTGGTAGGAAGGGAAAGATCCATCCCTTTCCCTGCTTTGCGGGGTGCTACAGGGCTTGGTACTCTCTCTACTCCTGTTCAACATTTATATGAATCCTCTGAGTAAGATCATCCATCACCATGGACTGAGGTATCACCAATAACCCTCTCGCACTGTGTGGAGGCTGTTAGGGGTTTGATTGAAACTAAACCCTGGTAAGACCGAGTGGCTCTAGGTTTGGGGTTCGTTGGCTCAGGGAGAATTGCCATCTTTGGTCCTGGATGGGTAGCACTACCTCAAATAGACCCTGTGCGTAATCTGAAGGTTCTCCTGGACTCACAGCTCATGCTCAAAGAAGAGGTGATGGTAGTGGCCAGGAGGGCCTTCGTGCAACTGTGGGTTGTGCACCAGTTACACCCTTTCCTGGACAAACAACCCCTACTCACAGTCACCCATGCCTTAGTCACTTCCCATCTTGACTATCACAATGTGCTCTACATGGGGCTGCCCTTGAAAAGCACCCGGAGGCTCCAGTTACTGCAAAATTCAGTGGCCCGCATGGTTTTGTGCAGACCCTGGTGTGCACATGTATCACCTCTCCTGCGGGAGCTGCATTGGCTGCCAATTTGCTTCCAGGTGCAATTCAAGGTGCTGGTTGTCACCTTTAAAGCCCTTCATGGCTTGGGACCAGGTTATCTGAGGGACTGTCTCTTGCCTGTTACATCTACCTGACCCATCAGAACAGGGAGGCAGGGAACGTTGCGGGTCTCATCCCTGAGGGAGATACACCTGGTGGGACCCAGAAGAAGGGCCTTCTCTGTGATGGCTCCCTCTCTCTGGAACATCATCCCCCTCCGAGATTAGAACGGCTCCCACTCTAATACTCTTCTGGAAAGTGCTGAAGATCTGGTTCTGCCAGCGGACCTGGGGAACCCAAAGAGGGATGGAACCCATTAAATGGCTTATGTGATTTGCTGTCACTGGGGTGGGAGGTGGGGGATGATTTTATTATATTAATTTATTTAATTCTTCTTACTAGTTTTTCTATGTTAAATCTGGTTTTATACCTTGTAAGATGCCTTGAGTCACCATGGACAAATAGGTAGCAATATAAATCCAATAAATAAATAAATACATACATACATAAATACACAAATATATAAAATAGATAACATGATTTATGTCATTCTGCCTTTCAGAGAATTCCCAGAGCATTATACAAAAGGATAATAAAAATATTGCTTTATTAAACAAAAAAAACCCATAACTAAATAAAATCAACTATCTTAAAAGAAATGTACTCTTTTTGTCCTGCAAACCAGAGGTGGTATTTAGCAGGTTCTGACCAGTTCTGGAGAACCGGTAGCAGAAATTTTGAGTAGGTCGGAGAACTGGCAAATCCCACCTCTGACTGGAGATTTTACAGTATCCTTCCACGGCCATGCTCACCAAGCCACGCCCACAGAACCAATATTTTAAAAAAATTGAATCCCACCACTGCTTCAAATTGCCTAATGAACAGACATATTTACTAAAAACAATGGGATCAAATGTATTACCCTTGACAGAATGGTAATTGGTGGCACTGCCACTGAGATGATTTACTCCTGACTCCCAGACTATAAACTGCATCTCAGCTAGGCCCTCACAGATCATGAGTGGAAATGAACTGAAGGAATATTTGCCAACTGAAGCTTGCCTTTAATATCATCTATACATCTCAGGACACATTAGAATAAAAGACAAACCCTATATTTCACCCTTTTTCTAGTGCTTCCTCAGGTTGAGAATTAATTATTCATGATATCCCACCTTATCTGGATTCAGTTTTAATTTTCTAGCCCTCGTACCATTCATTAATTCCTAAAGAGAGTTATTGATGATTTAAAGCAGTGGTCCCCAACCTTTTTTGTACCAGGGACCAGTTTCAAGCACACTTTTTCAAGGATGGGGGGGGGAGAATCCGAGTTTGGTGGTTTGCTTGCAGACGTTTCATTACCTGACTAGGTAACATCTGATGTTGTTACCTAGTCGGGTAATAAAACGTCTGCCAGCAAACCACCAAGTTCAGGGAGCGCCTCGGCCCTCCCCCACCCCCATCCCTCAGGTGTCTCCCTCCCTCCCTCAGGTGTCTGCCTCATTCCTCTCTCAGTCACTCTCTCGCTGCTCCACCAGCCCAGGAAGAAACTGCTTCAAAGAAGCCGGGGGGGTGGCTTTTCCTGTTGCCGCAGCTCCTCCAAAGAACCCGTTTACCCCCACCCCGCCCACCCGCGCGCGCGGGGTTCAACCCAGTGCTCCGTTCTGCCTGCCTGCCTGCCTGCCTTTGTTTTGGAGCAGCTTTGGCTGATAAAAAGAGGCAAATAGTTATTATTCTCAGCCGAAGCTGCTCCCAACCAGACAGGCAGGCAGGCAGAACGGAGCACTGAATTGAAGCGCGCACAGGCGGGCGGGGTGGGGGTAAACAGGTGCTTCGGAGGAGCTGCGGCGACAGGAAAAGCCAACCCCCCCCCCGGCTTCTTTGAAGCAGTTTCTTCCTGGGCTGGTGGAGCAGCGAGAGAGCGACTGAGAGAGGAACGAGGCGGGAGGAAACCGAAGCTGCTGAGCCAGAGAGCAGGACAGGCTTCGGTTGCTTCCTCCCTCCCCTTCTTTCATTTGTGTCCTTGATCCCCGATCCCAGCAGCATTCACCGAAGGCAAAGAAAGCCGCCATTTTTTAAAATTCTTTTTTCTTTGCGGCCCGGTACAGAGTGCTCCACGGTGGTTGAGGACCCCTGATTTAAAGGATTTCCTTAGATTCAAGACACCATAGCTTAAATTTCTGGATTACCATTCCAAGAGCTTTATGTAAGATGTCATCAGAGGAGGAAGTCAAGAACCTGGCAGAACGACATAGCCTGGATATTTATATGAGTGTTACCAAAGAGAAACCTCTAATAGTCATTTTGGAGAGGTAGTAATGATGTAGGAATATAGATTTTATAACCAGAAGGCACTTGGACTCTTCAGGTGGATATGATGATGGGCACATTTTTATTTAGAATGAAAAAAATATATCCATTTTCTACCTGTTTGATTCTAAACTTTTATAATTTCCTATCAAAAGATATTTTACATATGCGTACAATATGGTTTTACTGCAAATTTTCTATAACCATTAGGATAGGATAGTTCTCAATAAAAAGTACTTCCCTATTTGTAAATAATTTTATTACTTAACTATGAATCACCATTAATTAAATCTGATTCAGTGAAAAATCATACCTGCACAATGCTATTCTCAGATATTGGAATTATAGTTTTAAAGTTTGTTCTGAGTTGATCCAAACATGGAGGAACATATTTATCAAAGAGAATAGTCAAATTTGCTTTTTCAGATTGATCTGTCCTTGATTCTATCCAGCTTGCAACATATCTGGAAAAGAAAACCCAGTGATTTCTCCCAAGATACGTGTGTCACTATACAGAGGCTATCAACCATTTTCCATATTAGGAAGGAAGAAGGACATTTCTTCATATGTATTATTGATAAATGCATATGATAGATATTAATATTATCTATACTAACCAAATATTACCTGGTTCTTAAAGTATTTCTGGTAATCCCTATCAGAATACTTTAAGTCTAAGCGCTAAGTATTCACATGTGTCTTTTGGATGTTGTTCAGTGTCTTTCTGACTTAATTCTTAAAACAATGATTTAAATTGAAAAAAAGTTAATGGAAAATTGGCATGCTGCAAAACAAATTGCATACTCTAGAATTATATGTATGTAAATGAATATTTACATGTAGGTCTTATTGGTTATTCCTGAGAAAAACACAACAATGGCTCCAAAGGATACATTGTTCATTTGCCCAAAAACAGGGCAAAATTCATCCAAGAACTAGAATCTTGGAAGGTTAGAGAGAATAGTTGCAAGTTTCCTCACATTCAGCAAAGGAACAATTTTGTTAATATATAAACTCTTCTATGGCTGCAATTTTATTAAGTATCCCTGACATGGTCTGAATATTTCAGATATCTCAAGTCTGCCATTGAGTGTTTCAGCAATCAAGACAATATTGAATAAATTTCTGATTTTCAATAATACTGGAATATGTTTTAAAGAGAATCATAGGCAGCACAATACATGTAAATGAATGCATATAATTTAGTCTGTTGAAATATTAATGATCTGCTTTTCAAATAAAAAGCTTTAAGCAGTAGCAACTTATGTCAATAATTTTATAATTATAATTATTTTATAATATATAAAATATATTTTATATATTTTACAATATACAATAACAATTATAATATATAATAACAATAATGCTGATCAGAGAAGCAGAAATAGGTCATAAAGAAGAAACCCCCAAAAGTAATTTGGATAACGATTGCCTTGGTTTATTATCTGGTGACATTGCATATTTCACATTAAAATGAAAAGCTCTTATGCAAGAATAAGTTAGTAAAGATTACGTACGGATTCCAACCAAGATCCTGTGGATTCACATACAAAATTCCTGCTCTTGACACTGTAGCAGGGGTGGCTGTTTTCAAATGGTGTATCTCAAATAGCAGTCTCATTGATGGTGTCAAAGGAATCCGTTCATTGCTGGCAAGTGTCAGCACCTACGAGTGTGTAGAGTAGAGTAATGTTACCCTCACAATAGAACCCACTGCATTCATTTTTATAGTAATCTAAAAATATGTTTCTGATTTATTTTATATTGCTCAGTTCATGTCTGAGGATCCATTAATAAATCCAATACATTGTGAGTTCATAAATCCCAATCACTTAAAAGAACGCTATCAAATTCTTAGGGAAGAATATAACAGAAGTTCAGTTTTAAGGTTAAATATTTGAAAAAACAAAATTAGTTGTACATGATGTGTAATCATTTTATTTAAAAGATTGTCAATCTCTACATAGAAAAAAAATATAATTTACATAAAATATATTGTCTCTACACATATAGATATATACCAGCAATAGACAAACTAGTGTTGTTCAGATGTTCTTCAGATCACTTAGAATCTCTTGTGTTTGATTATACTGGTTAAAATCACTAGGAACTAAAGTAGTAAACCTCTGGTGTATTTCTGACAACAGATTCTTGATCTGTGCAAAAGGATTGATTTTCAAGAGAACTTCCAGAGGGGGAAAAAATGATAGATTGAAGATGGCTCTGCAAAAAAGCAGAACAATGTATTGTCTGAGCCAATGAGTAACCTCACCCCTTTCCTAAGAGGTCTGTAGGGGGCGTGCATAAGCGCACCAACGTGCCTACCGTCCCTGTCCTATTGTTTCTTTTATTTTTCTTATATGTACCCATTTCATGTATTCATAACTACGTACATACTTATACCTATTATCTTGTAAGCGATTGACAAATCAAATAAATATCATAAAAATAAACATCATAAAACTCATCTCTTGGAATTTTTCCAGATAAATAGAGGGAAGATCACCCACAGGTGCTCTGGACAGTTGCGGAGTTACGGACAGTATGAGGACACCTAACTTACCCATTTCCCTAACCCTTTTCAGACTTTTGCTGATACTTTTGCTGAAGTGATGTTTTATGGATTTATTTATTGGTAAGAGATGATATACAGGATAAAAAGATCATTAGCTGTTAGTTGAAAGAATTTTTTGCTTACATGTCTTGAGATGAAGGTTGCAAGTCATTTCGTTATATATTTCTTTTCTTTTTCTTTACTACATCCATACTTTTTCTTTCTATTCTATATCTGTTTTTGTTTTCTTTTGCATTTTTCTTTCTATTCTTCTTTTAGTTTGTATTACTTTTTAGAATTGCAATTATAATCTTTAATACAATTATTTTTTAAAACAAGGATAAATTTCTAAGTCATGGAAAATCTTGAATTCCTACCGGTTCAACATATTAGAAGAGGATTTGGACGTATATACATCTTCATTCCCTTTCCTTTTCTGACTAGTACCAGTATTGGGATATAATTTAATTGCAGAAATTAATGTTAATAAGCTTAATTAACAAGTTCAGTTTCCAGCACCGGACTCATAAAACTCAGGGTTGTTTTACCTCAGTTTAGTTTTTATTCAATGCAGAATAACAAGCATAATATCTTAGTTTATTAGTTTTTTTTTTAAAAAATGCAATTACTCAAGTGTAATGAGAAACCATTATCAACAAATATTTCTAACTGGCTCTTCTGGTACATCACAGAAAAGAAAGTATATTTTAATGAATCTCAATCACATATAGAAACCATTTAATGTGTGGTGGTAATAAAAGAAAATAAACGTTAAAGAAAAAAAATGAAAATGCATTTTCTTATGCTCACCTTGTTATCATCCATAACAGTATTGAGCGATTCAATCCACATAGGATCTATATCTCCATCTAAGACAATCCATTTTGGCCAATTATGGCTCATATTTGCTTGTTCTCTCAAAAGAGAGGAAAAGAGTCCTGAGAAATGTGTGTAAATAGATTTTGATAATAATATTTAAATGACAAAAAGCAAAAGTTTCTTTCTCAGATGCAAAAGAATCTAAAAATGCATATAACTGTTTTTATGCATGCACGTGAGTGTTACTAAAGTTTCTTTTAAATGTATACTTTATTTGGAGCAAGATCAACAATTGTAATCCTGGATGTCTAGGTTAAGTAATTCTACAGTGGCTAAAATAAAATTATATCGCCTGTCTAGTTGTGTATCACAATATAATTAGCATTGATTATATTAGCACAAGATTATATTAGCATGCAGATACATCCAGGTAAAACGGACACCAAGGAAAGAACATATGGGGTATGCAGAAGGTATCAGATAAGAAATCTAATGATCTACATACAAAGAAAAAACATTTCAGACATTTGAAAGACAATATTTTCCTATATGAAGTATTCAATAATATGCAATTTCAGATGCACCATCTAAAAGAGGATTTTTATCTGTAGCATCGTTGATAGCATCATTTATAAATGGAATATAGTAACTGTTTTTTCTATGCTGAAGTTTGTTTTACATAATATTTTCCTTGGCTTTTATTTCTATTCATTTATTGATAAAATTAAAAACTAGCAAGTAAAAAAACAGAATGTCATGGAGTAAAGTCTTTTAGCATGCTACTTATATAAGTACACAAAAGTAATGTGATTTTTCTTTACAGAGAAACAAAACATAAGCATAGTCTCTATTGATCTGTGATAGGAAATAGAAATGTTAGAAATCTGTATTCTGATATTTATCCTGGGTATTTTGAACATGTTTGTCCTGACAGAATTTGGGGTGAATTTTTACCCAACACATCATACTGGCTAACAATTAAGAGTAGCTGGGATCCAACGCAACTAGAGAACACCAAATTGGGGGAGCTGGTATAAAAGTCACAATAATAACTATTGTAAAGTTTTTCACTTGCCATCTTTCCATTCTCTTGTAGCATGATGTATGAACCCAAAGAGCTCATCAGTAGTCACAGCCTTAGGGTTCAAATCATTCCAAACAGGCTTCTGCTTCATGATCATATAAGTCTTATTCAGGGTTTTCAGAATCTGTTAAGTAAAAGAAAAAGAAAACTGAACCTTAATTTTTTGCGGAAAGTGTTTTTTTAATATAAATACGAGCACTTCTATAAAATCTCAAGTATAGTGCTTTGATCTTTGCACTGTATTTCAGAGGCTGGTTTTTTAAGGACTTCAAGAGATATTCTAGAAGTCTTCAAGAGAAAACTTTTCCCCACAAATCTAAAATTGCAGAATTATTAATTCTATACCTTCTAGTTTACTCATGATTGTTTTTTATTCACATCTGCCAAAATTATTTCTGTTCACATTTTAAAAGTGGTTCAATAATTTGCAAGGTTAGAAATAACAATGGGGTAAAAACAATTGTGCGTATTAGTTTCACTTTGAGAATAAGCAAGAATAATGGGGAAATGACAAACATAATGAGAATTGTTCTTCAGAAAAATCAAAGAGAACCCATAAATTAAAATTTAGTAAACTTTCACTTCCCCTAAAAAGTAACCCTAAATTGTTAATATCCCTGATCTGCCTTTCTATTTTTCATTAATTAATTAATTAATTGGCTGCTCATTCACCTTGTAACTGTGAATAGCAGTCTACCATCTAAAAATAAATACAGTTACAAATGGCAATTAAAACATGCAGTCTATGCTCAAATAATTATGAAAACAATTTAAAACAGGCTTATTGAACCTTCTAGTTCAATACATGAGGCAAGAGCTAGATCTTCAATGCCTTACAAAGAACAACTCATAAGAGCTCTTGAATCAAAAGATGTTAGAAGGATCCACCCCCAAAGAAACACTTTTTTATTTGATTTTTCCCTAGATAGCCTGAATCCCAAAAGGAAAAAAAAAAGAATTATTTCCTTATCAAGATTAGCTTGATCATACACTGGAATTTCATATTAACGCAAAAATATGGATGGACATAGCTGATGTGAAAGCAAGTGATGTTTTCCAATTTACCTGGAAAATAATATTTTCAATGAAATAATAGTTGAAATTAGGAAGGATATACTTGTACCTTGCTTTTTCCTGTTCCTGCATTTCCCACTACAAAGACAGAATGACGCACTGCCAGCAATTCCTCGAGCTGAACAACCTGCCATAATAATATAATAATATTAATATTAATAATAGTAATTATAATAGCAGCAGCAGCAACAACAACAACAACAACAAAACATTGGCATGGCTTAAGAGAGGAACCATCAAGAAAGAAATGGAAGGTTTAATACTTCCTGCTCCAGAACAAGCACTACAAACTAATGCCATGAAAGCAAAGATACAAAAATCCACTGACAATCCAAACTGCCTACTTTGCAATGACAAAGTTGAAACTGTTTCATGCTTAATATGTTACTGCAGCAAAATCGCACAAACGGACTACAAAGCTAGACATGATCAAGTTGCTAAATTAATCCACTGGTCATTGTGTAAAAAATATGCTCTACCTGTATCTGAAAAGTCATGGGAATATAAAGTGGAAAAAGTTGTTGAAAATGAAATGGTTAAGATCTTGTGGGACTTTCAAATACAGATGGATCGCCATTTGGAACACAACATGCCAGATATTATGGTAGTTGAGGGCCAAAGCATACAATTTATTGATATCACTCTACCAGGAGACCACCAGAGTCAAAGAAAAAGAACTGGAAAAATCATGAAATATCGCGACCTGGCTATCAAAACTACACAGTTATGGATGAAACATTGAACAGTGATACCCATTGTCATTGGGGCACTTGGTACCATGTCCAAGAATTTTACAAAACACATCAAGAAATTGCAGCTTTCTGCAATAACACCAGCAGAACTGCAAAAATCTGCGGTATTCATAACATCATACATTTTAAGAAAATACTTTGTTAACACCTAGGATGCTGGCAGTAACCCGTATCAACCATCAGCACCAGTCAATTATATTTGTGATGCATTTTTAAATGTTCAGTTGGCTGAGTTTCATGTTTAATGAATAAAATAGCTGATGATGATGATGATGATGATGATGATGATGATGATAATAAATAATAATAATAATAATAATAATAATAATAATAATAATAATAATAATTAATAATAATAATAATAATAATAATAATAATAATAATAATAATAATA